ACACACACACACACACACACACACACACACACACACACACACTGATGCTAAGGTACACATCAACAGTGCTATATAGATCTAATTGATTTCTATTGTTAAACATTTCTTCAGTTACTGTTTTAATTCTGCTTGATATATGTGAATATCAATAAATACTAGCAGAGACCAGCAAAACATTTGTGGTCAAATTATTATATTTATTGCAACAGTAATTCTTTCAGTACAGGATTTCTAGAATAATACAAAAGAAGTGTAATAGCAGACACTGAAATGGACAAGTCCACTTGTCTTAGGCCTACTATTAGTTAAGCCTGTATTAACCCATTGATTGCAGCTGCTCTAAACGCGTGCGGAATATTTGCAACCCGGAAATTGTATACGGCACACTTGTATTCTAGTGCTAGAGACAGATCATACCCTATACCGTGAATCAGCAGTCAATAGGTTGAGTATGGCCTATATTCATTAAAGAGATAAATTAATACTGTAACTTGTGTAAACTTTTTTGCTTTTGTTAGTTAAGACTAAACTTTGCTGTACTTAATACTATCAGTAAATAAACTTATAATGTTATTCTACAAACTAATGTTAGGCCTTTTTAATATGTTGTACAAAATGTCTACAAAAGTAAATTTACATCCACCTTTGGTTTACATCCGTTGAAATGAAGTGTGAAATGTAAGATGTGCAGGCATTTTCAGGAGAGACAAAACTGGTCTAATAAATTGAAATTACATTTTCTAATCTCATTCAGAACAGATAGAAGTATTGTTGGAAACTGATTTTTATCACTTTAAATGTATGAACTTATTTTGGCAAGAGGGGATTTTTGAAGTCATTAGACAAATTTATAACTCAACATCTGGAACCGTATTGATTTCAGAATTGTCATTTATGATAAAGTAGTAAGTTGATTGTTAATTGAGTCAACCAGTTACATTGTTTAATGTTGTAGAAATTGAGTTTATGTTTTCAGCAAAGTAATAAAGATATGAGAAGTACATCAGTACAAGAGAAGTTAGCAAGTAAATTATTTTGTCAAGTTAGGCCTGTCGTTAGTTACGTGGAACATTTGCAGGTTGTTGTTCTTTTAGAACTTCTAGTTGATGCAATAAACACTTTGTTATCTTTGAGTGGAGTGGACTTTGTTTTCGTTATTGTACTGAATAATCCAGAAAGAACCCATCAAACAAAAGAGAGAATTATAACAAGATTGTCTAAACTTACCTCACACTGATTTTGATTTGAAATTTGGTGAAAAAAAGAAGTTTTAAAGCTCTAGAAATGATCCTTAATTTCAAATGTTCTTTATGCAAGTTTTTATAAAAGAGCAGAAAATTGTCTTATCTACATCTGTGGGTTAGGTTTTAACATTGTTTTAAAGAACTAATTTGTAATTGTATATAGAGCAAATTTAAAACACAATATGCTAGTTAAAAAAATACAAATTTGATATTATAAAAACATAAGCACAATAAGAAATATACAGTTGAGCAGAGTTATAAGTTATTATAACTTTCTGGAAAAGCCTTGGTCTCTCCTCTCTTATGGATAAATGAAGTTTGAAGAAGTGAGCAGGTAGAATATAAAAAGTAGGGGTGTTTTTAAGGTTAAATTGGGCAGAAAGTAAAAATAAAATATAAGTATAATTAAATGGAGTATTGGAATAATAATTACATCATTCCACAGTTGGAATAGTAGTAAAAGTTTATGTTTTATGTTGTTTTTATAGTAAAGAGTTAAAATATAGTGTCACCTTACTCAAAATCTTTGCATGTGGCCAGCCTTAGGTTTCCTCTAACAAAGAAAACTGATATGGTTACAAGCCAAAATTGGACACTTGTCAAATAGCTAATGAGAAAAAACAAATACAGGTTGTAATTTGAACATTGCCAAACCTTGAAAACTTAACAGGTGACAGACAGAATTGATCAGTCAGATATAAGTGATTTGGTGATTAGCTAAAGCCTGGAACTTAAACAAGTGGCAAACTTAATGGAAAAATATATAATTTATTTGGCTATTTGACAAAATTTAAAAATTAAACAAATGTCAGATTCTTCTTATCAGAATTTTTGAACCACTTGTATTATTAACTCATGGTTTTCTTAATACAAAGTTTCAGTATAAAAGATATGTTGAACATTGTTTTTTGTATTTTTAATTTGCTAGTCCACAAGAATTGAAGATCAAAGGAGCAGTATGCCCAATATTGCATCTCAACCTGCTAGGATTTTGAGTTCAGGAACAGTTCCAAGTGATTTACCAACACCTCAGCATGCACCTACAGTACCAGATGATGATTTTTTCAGTCTCATCTTGCGCTTCCAGGCAGGACGTATTGATGACCAGAGATCAGCACTTCCTTCTAAGTCCACCAGTGAAGTGGATGCCAATAATAAAAGTAGCTGCAGCTCATCCCGCTCAGGCAATCTCCTGAAATCCAGTCTTAGGCATGGGCTCCGTGGTTCTCGTTCTTCCAAGACAGGGAAGCACTGAGGGCAAGCATATCTGCTGGGAGAGTAAGTCTGAGGTGATTTATCATGTATGCAGAACAGCCCTTGTTACAAGAAAATATATGTTGTAGTGTTATATTAAAAATATAATTATGGCTGTACCTTGCTACACTCTCCTCTGAATGTTGGTTTTTGTAACAGTGTTGTCCAGCAATCCTAAATGTAAAAAAAAAAAACAATTTTTAGTTGATACTTTGGATATATTTTACTGTGTTCTTCATCACATTTCAAGGCTTGAAGACATGAGTGAAAGGGGGGAAAGGAATACACTATACTGTAAAAAGGTATTATGTTTTTGGTTTTCTCGCATTTTTGGTAAGATACAGTATGAATCTATTTTGTTACAGCCATATAGTATGAGTACTGTGTAGGTGGCAGAGTGAAAAGTTGCTGTTTTTGAAGTATCAGAACAAACAGAAGTAAAAATGTGACGTAAATGCATGTAGATAATTACTTTGGGAGAGACTGATTTGTTGGAAACTTTTTATATTTTAATCAAAGAATTCTTCCCTTTTTTTCAGTCCTGAACCGTTAGGAAGATTGAAACATATTGGCAGAGAGTAATAACTTGTCGTACATCATTTGGGAGTTAAGGAAAATAGTGGTTGAAGGCTTGTTATATGTTATTTAAATAAAGAAATCATGCACAAATTGTGCTTGAGTATATTCAAAAATATTGATGTAAAGAATTTTAAATTCACTAAACAAGCCAATTAGGTGAAAGGATATTCCTCTTATTTTGAGGATAAGCATTTGTAGCGTAAGATTTAACGTAAGTATATTCATCGAAAGGATTAAGAGGGTTGTGAAGTGTAACTCATTCAACAGTAGTCTAATTCAGTGTTAGCTTTGAAGCAAAGATTTATTTATAATTTGATTTTCTGTTAAAAACCCGAGTGATTTTGTTTGATTCAACATGTGAAATGTTCAGAGAAAATCTTAATGAGCATTAACTACTTGTTTTGTAATAATTATGAAATTGTTTAACAGAGGCTCAGTGTTTCTTAAAAAATTCAAGCAACTATACAGTGTGTGCTTGTGATTAAAAGTAATTGTTCTCTTGAGGAAACCTCTCTTTGTTAATCGGGTAGATTCAAGGTAAAGACATGTAAATTTCAAGAGCATATTAAATGGTTGGATTCACAAAAAAAGATACATTGTCACAAATCCTGTTGAATCATTTCTTTACACTAAATGTGTGGTTAAAAGATAATCTTGTTATATTAATATATGTGCTATTGTGTGTTGTATAGACTTGTTTGTGAAAGGTTAACCGTATAGTTTTATTAATAAAGTATGTACGTTGGTTAATGTATAGCATATTAGTATTATTTGTCCATCATGTTATAAAATATTTTTAATCAATGTAAAATGTAGGAAAACTTGAAACCTATAGAGCTCTCAGTATCTTTGATTAAATTATTTTGTGACCTTTCCAGATTTTCCTATTTCAATGTTGTCATTTTTTTCATTCAAAAAAAATAAAAATAAATAAACTGCAGGTGTATTATCACAGTAAATTCTTTCTTTTCTTTTTTTTTTTTTTTTTT